ACATTCGATAAGTATATTATTATTATTATTATTATTGTTATTAAATTTAGCATACTTCGTATATCAGATCTTTCACGTGAGCCCTCATAACGAAAATATACTTCCAAATTCTGCCAGCGAAAGTGAATATTTGAATCATATTTGATATAATTTAAGACACATCAGCTTGAACTATTTTCCCACTCACCAAACACCAAATCTCATTCCAAAACCAAACACCCTTTATTTCCGACAGACTCACCTCTCACCAGATTGAAAGTATACAGCACCCACTCCAATATTATTTTCTGCTGGAGGTCCGGAAATTGGAATTCATCTTGCGCCCTCCATAGACAGTCGGCGATTATGTCGAGAAACCAAAACTGAATCGCATTCAGCTTATAGTCCCTGCACCCCAGGATGTCGGAGAGCTTCTCTATCGCAACTTTGACGCCTACGTCTCTCACGAAGGGGAGTTTAACGTCGTTCAGCTTCGGGAAGGCGTCCGGCAAAGGAGCTACTTTGTAGCGCGAAAGCGGATCTGCGCGTGATGGAAGTTCAGCGGTAGATGCTGGAGACGGATCGTTACGTTCACGGTCCAAAGATTTTTGGCTGAAGTCTCTGCCGGAGGATGATTTTGGAAATTTTTGAGAGCTGCGTGAGCTAATTTCGAATTTTTGGGACAGATTCTTGATTTTCTTTTCGGACATTCGAGTGTTGATGATTGTTTTGACAAGTATGTACTATGACAAAATAGATTGAGGTTATATTTTAGAAGTCTCCAAAAATGTGGAGTCTCTAATAAGATTGCATGATATTAACGATTCAACTTTTCAAAACAAATCTGTCGAAAATTTTTGTTTAACAAATATTTTTCCCACTAGTGTATCGTCCAATATCGTTTAAGTTTCTCTAGAATGTTATAGATGAGTTATTGCAGAAATTGTTTTGTGATTTTTGCAAAAATGGATAAATTTTCGTTTTGAGGGCACCCGTCGATTATGAAAATATTTTTGAGTGAACTCACGTATTTTTATGCGTAGATTACGAAAAAGCGGTGCTCCCCCTTATTTACAAAGTTACGGTCCTTCAAAGTTCAGAAAAGGGCAACTTTTCAGCCTTCTTTTTCACAAGATAAACTATTTAAAAACACAAGCATTTATTCACTAGGTCACCTTTACACCTTATTCCTTCCTCTATGACACTTTTCACTTCAATAATCAACATTTTTCTTATAGAAATTTTAATTTAAAAACGAATCCTTCTCCTGGTGACATTCTTCTATAGGTTAGTTACTAGTGAGATTTTAGAAAAAAGCGGTTGGTATTTGCCGCCGCCTACTATTTCAAATTCATAATACACCACCAAAAACGAATTTACGATCTGAAGAATGAAGGTGAAAAATATTTGAATTACTTTAGGAATATTGACTGCATCAGTCGTACCAACCATGCCATTAACTTAAAATACACATATATGTAACCAAAAAGCAATTCCGTACATTTTTTATAATTTTTATTGAAAAAATGTTGATTATTGAAGTAAAAAGTGTCAAAGAAGGACGAATGAGTTGTAAAGGTGACCTAGTGAATAAATGCTTGTGTTTTTAAATGGTTTATTTTGTGAAAAAGAAGACTGAAAAGTTGCCCTTTTCCGAACTTTGAAGGACCGTTACTTTGTAAAAGTTTTCCTTTTCTGAACTTTGAAGGGCCCTCACTTTGTAAATAAGGGAGAGCGCCGCTTTATTCATTCGGATTCGTAATCTACGCATCAAAATACGTAAGTACACTCAAACCTTTTTTCAAAATCGCCGGGTGTCCTCAAAACGAAAATTTACCCAAAAATATTTTGTCTTGGTATTGATGGCCCAATATTTAGCTTTGCTGATGACAGCACACTTGTCGCGTCATTACATTTGGATTCCAGGACATTCGCTGCGGAGGCACATCTTCACCGGCAGCAGGAGTTTGCATATCCTTATGAGGATCAAGTGGTATTATCAAATTAGGGTGGATAGGTTTAATTCAATGTCAGGAAAACCCAGGCATCAGTTTTCTCAAAAAAGATAGATGTATCCGAACCGGATATGATAATGTCAGTACAGACAATTCTGCTTGCTGCTTCGATAAGTTTGTTGGGGGTTGAAATGGACATCAATATATCTTAGTACAATCATGTCGCTGGAATTGCAAAGGCTGCTTCTCGAAAGCTTGGAACTATGTTTCGATTTAGAAAACTATCCACACCTCAGCAACTTTTGATATAAAGCTCAGATCAGACCTTCTTTGGAGTATTGTTCTCATGTATGGAGCTCCGCCCCTGAGCATATCCTGAAGCTGCTGGATTCTATCCAGAAATGAGCCATCCGCCTGATTGGAGACGCAAAAGTCACTTGCAACCTTGGTAGTCTGGAACATCGAAGAAAGGTTGGAGATTTGTTTCAGGAAGTGTTCAAATAACTTGGCACATTTGATTCCATCGAGAGCGATTCATATCATAAATACGAACTGTGGTTGCTCATCGTTTTAGAGTTCATCTCAGTATACCTCGAACTTCACTGTTTGAAATCTATTCGATTTGGAGAACTTCGTTTATGTGGAGTGAACTTCCTGAGAACGACCCTCCACATGAATTTAATCTCCAGCGATTCAAATCCAATGTGAATCGCTATTTTCGCACAAGCACATATTCGGAAACTCCAACTTTGTTGATTCTTTCTACATTGTTTTATGATTTATCTAACAGGTACACAGGTGGGTAGATCTCAAGTGAGTGGATCTATTGGACCCTCCATTGTCCCCGTCAAAGTTTCATCGTGGCACGTCCTCATTCAAATTGGACCAAATCAATCCAGTTACTTGCTGCGAAGTGGATCTTCTGTGACACATCCTATGGCAGAACTCATTCATCTTTGCAGAATGCTAGCAGCACCTACCAGCCAAGAAACACTTTCCTGATCCTTTCAGGTGATCTGTAGCTATGACAGAATATGCAGCTCTGGAATTGTGCCTGCGCATCATCTTCTGGGATTCACTCTACGGCAGATTTAACGGCATGCCGATGAGATTCCAATTGAATGGTCTATATCTAAGTTGCTAGATGTTCGAGGTTCGTTTTCAGTGACTACAGCAACCTCTCCAAATAGAGAGTCAGCCATACCTGACGATACATTAGATACAGCCTAGATTATTTTTCAGCCTCCGGTTTGGCTGAATCTTGGTTTGAGCATAAGCACTCGTTGACCTGCTCAGGAAGCGTTTGCTCTTTTTCCTAGTGCAGATTCTGCTTCTGCTCCTCGTTAATTTTGTGCTGAGTAAACTCAGGAGATATTTCACTGTTGAAGAGATCATAAGTAGCTTTCTGAATGATGAGTCGTTGATAGGGAACTTTTTGCTTCTGATTCAATACTATAGGAAGGAATTTTAGGGTCATTTGGTCGTCGTTTATCTCTGATTCAGGGCTGGAATCTTCTGTTGAGAAAAGTGATTGCATTACCATAACGATGCTTTTTTACCGCCATTTCGCAGGCCATTTAGCAGGACCATTACCTCCAAAGATGATACTTCAGCTGCAGCTGAAGGACATATATGTAAAATCACATAAAATACATAGTTCCACTCAATAATTTCCTAAATTCTTCTTTTGATCAACCGTGGAACCGTTTCTCATCAACTTTGGTGTTTTTAGGGCTTTATAATGCCTTCCTACTTGGTTTACGATACTGGTATTCAAAATAAGAGGATGAACTGAAATCACTGGCAGTTAAAGTGTTTGAGAAAATTGCTTGAGTTGAAAACCATCAGCATGTCCTTGAGCCGCAATTTTCAGTAACATTCTGGTATTTCAGCCTTCAACATCAATTTGACAAATATTTCCAATTCCGCCGCCAACATATTTCTCATTCAACAAAATTCTCTGGAATGTGCCTCAGTTCAATACAATCTCTCTTGAAGTCAAGAACCCGATATCTCCTCCCCAAACATTTCCACTGAAATTACCTGAATATTCTCTCGAGTTTTCGATGAAAAGTTCTAATTTACCTAATGGTTCATGAATATTCAACATCAATCCAGAGAAACACATTTGTTTCAACAGAGACTAGCGTTAAAAACAAAATTCTTTACGTCGAAAATATTTCGGGAAAATCAAACCTGATATCATTAGTCCAACTCATTCCTTATCTCAGAACAACTTCTTGAAAAAACTATTCATGAACTTGAGGAGTCGTGTTTACTTCATTTAATTGATGTTATCAAGATGAATGATTTGTTTGTTTGGCCAGTACAAAGATACATTTTACATATTGAGTTGGCCAGATCGCCTACATTGTAGGTCAATGTACTGATACCTATCAGAAAACAACTACTTCCCTGACTAATATCACGAAGGGCGTTGTATTATATTCGACAGGTGTCAGTGCAGGATTCTTCACTAAAGTTATTCCTGCGTATGCTCTTGGCGATCGATTTTTAATGATAAAAACTCACTTGTAGCCAGTCTCCAACTATGCCCACTCAATTTGTGAAGTTTTCTACCTCATACAAGAAGTTGGGTGAATTCGAATATGTGGTTGGTTTCCTCGTCCACAGGCAGATGGGGCCATGACAAACATGATATTTGTCGTTCGTTTCTGCCTAGTTCGAGGAATGATACCCTGAAAGGAATTATATTTTCGATTATAAGAAATCATTGACTCCATGTTGATGATAGACACTACCTTGCACTGACGAGTGGCCAAACAGCCTGAAAACGGTCTGCAAGTGTGTTCCAATAATTGGAAATTGAGGAGTTTTATCTTCCTCTTGAAGATGATCACTTGGTGATCGAAACACGTGTCGAGGTGCAAAAATAACGATTTGGTATTGGGAAAAAACTCCAGTAATATTGAGTAATGATAATAAGTAACTCTTTTCAGTGGTGATAAAAAAGTGTTATTTTACGAAACATATGGATGAAGCTAATGAGCGGTATGCACTTGTTTCTCATTGAAATGTGATAATGTTATAAAATGAATGCGAATGATATAATAGTTACGCAGAAAGAATAAACAATCTGAAAGTATTAGGTTTTACGATTTGTTTAGCATAACATGAGTGATATTTTATGAGTGTAAGGAAATAGTATAGCTGTCTGTTGTCCATGAATTTTGCTTCCAGGTACAATTGATCTGAGTTGTACAGTCAATCTTTTGAGAAAATGGGCTTGAGAAACCGTTTTTGATTTATTTCTAGAAGATGTAGGTAGGTTTTCGATGCAGCACCCTATCTTGGTATTCAATAGCGAAAATGGCTTTCCACTAGTGCGTGGTATAGAGTTTTTAGTATGTGGGTTGGTAATATGTTTTTGAGATATTTGAATCTATTCAGAATAGCCTGTAATTTATTGATAATATATTTTATATGCGAATTCCATCTTAAGTGTGAGTCGATTATGACTCTCAGATATTTAATTTCATTGAGTGGTAAGATATGGCATGGCTTGTTATTTATGTTCACTGTTAAGTTATCGAATATGGGTGAACCAGTTCTGTTACAGATGAAAGGGACGTAGTTCACTACCCAAAAATGTTTTTGCTGTATCATCAGCGAAACTAAGAATGAATCCATCACTTTGAAGAGAGTATATATTGAAAAGAATGGGTCTCAAGACAGTACCTTGTGGTATTCCGTATTCAATTTTTCTCGTTTCGCGGACAACTTGGTCGAGTTTCACTCGTTGATATCTATTTGAGGGGTAATTTTCGAAGAGCTTCAGGCTC